GGTCATTTACAATATTTTCTATTAAATATGGAAGTTATTAATAAATCTTAATTAAGGAAACGTAATAAAAGAAATTGTATAAATGGCAACATTTAAATATTTAATTATATTAAAATATTAAAAATTTGGATTTCATATATTGTCATGAGTTATAATCAGGAAACGTGTCTTGATAAAACAATTGAATTATAGAATGAAATCATCAAAACGTAGATGAACAAAAAAAAATCCACAAAATGAAACAGGTTTCATAAAGGTGAAACCGGTTCATGTTGCAAAGAAATTAGGTGAACCGATACATTTTTATGGTGAACCCGTTGCATTGATGGTGTAGTTAATCCTTTTTTTTATGAAAAACAAAATGAAACCGGTGCATAAAAAATATGAAAAGGAAAATGAAACAGGTTTCATAAACGTGAAACCGGTTCATGTTGCAAATAAATTAGGTGAACCAAAACATTTTTATGGTGAAACCGTTGCATTGATGGTGTAGTTGATCAATTTTGTTGATGAAAAGGAAAATGAAACTGGTGCATTTTGAAAATAAATTACGAAAAGGAAAATGAAACAGATTTCATGAACGTGAAACCGGGTCTTGTTGCAAATAAATTATGTGAACCGAAACATTTTCATGGTGAAACCAATTTCGTTCATATAATGTAATTCAAAATTTAAAACGATTCACTCCATATAATTGAATATGGTGTGTTATATTCATTTTTTTATATGTTTTATTGATGGATGTGATTTAAAGTTAAAAATAATATATTGATTTAAAAAATGAAAATAGTGTCACTAATATCGAGAAGGATGTTACCACATGTTAAATTTTGTTTACCATTTTTGCCCTTACTGTTGAAATAAAATAAAATTTTAATATATATATTTTTTTAATTTCCTAAAATAAAGTAAACTAATCTTGGTCATTGATCAAGAAAATAGATGGATGAAATTGGTTTACACCATGAAAATATATATATATATATATAGAGAGAGAGAGAGAGGAGCGTTCAAATAAAAACCTGTCCCATTTGTGTAAACCGTGTAAACCAATCTCATCCGTCCATTTTCTTGATCAATGACCTAGATTATATTAATTTATTTTAGGAAATCAAAAATTAAAAAATAATTAATATTCATTTTATTTAAGCAAAAAGGGTAGATTCGGTATTCATTTTGTAACCCCTCGATTGCTTTTCCGATTCATTCCCGGCTTAAGCCCGTCTTCATCGCATGCAACCCTCACAATCCGGCGAAGGTAATCTTTATCCATTTTCGAATATAGTGTTACCAAAAACATCGATCAGCTGTATATTTAAGAAAAATGGTCGGCAAATAATGGAGGTATGGCATATTTATTGAAATCGTTTTTCGATTTCATAGAAATCGAACAGTGAAGTTGGAGATCATTGAAGCATTGTAATCCTTTTGTCTTTTACAGGTAGGAGGCGTTATAGCCATAGATTGAGGGAGATGAATAGTTTTTCAAAGTTTACCAACGACAAAGACCGACCTGTTGAACTCGATGATGAAGGTAACGACTTGGATTTCATTAACCAACAAATGAAGAAGAGAGGCAAGAAGAGAGTCGTTAAGGATTCTACAGGTAATCCATTTCTGCATTTTTCGTTTTAAAGATGTAAATTTGTATAATACATGATTTTGGGACAAAATGCATATCTATTGGAAGAAACCCCAAGTTGTTTCATTCTTATTGTAGTGAAGTCAATGTTAATAGTGGTTGGTAATTATTTTTTTGCATTTTAGTTTTATAGAAATTGTTGTTGAATCTATGTAATTGATGTATTTCATCATCATGATGAACAGCAACTATGAAACAGATTAAATGATTAAAGTGGCCCATTACATGTTGTTTTATGTGAAATTGATCCATTAAGTATGTTCATCATGAATGAACATGTTTCTTAGTTGCTTTTCATCATGAAGATGAAGCATGTTCAAAAACTACTACTATAGGCATATTGTTTAAAGTAATCATCTAGTCCTATTATCCAATTAGATGAAACAGATGCATGTATGAAAAACATCTATTTCTTGTTATTGCACAACGCCCGGTTCCCATACTAGTTTATATGAACTTTAAAACTTCTTACAACTGAAAGGGCTACATGTTGTTCTAATTGATTTTATAAATCATATGCTTCCTACAATCTTCAATATGATCAAAAGCAGCGTAGTTATTATTCTGCTTGATTTCATCCAGAAGCAATACACATTTATAATAGGTCACTTGAGTATGATACAAATTCATGAAGATGAAGCATGTTCATTATCTACTACTCTAGGCATATTGTCCAAATTAATCCTCTATTCCTATTATACACTTCAATGAATCAGGTTCATGGCTCAACTTCACACGAAAAACATGTAATGTTTAATGGGCCTATTTAATCAATGAACCTGATTCATAATTGCTTTTCAATATGATGATGAAGCATGTTCATTATCTACCACTATAGTTAATAGTTCACTTGAGTATGATACAGATTCATCCAGATTCAATATCTACTGCCATATTCTTAATGATGATGAAACATGTTCATTGTCTACTACTATAGTTAATAGTTCACTTGAGTATTATCTACTACTAATATAGTTATTTTTAATATGTATAATAGTTCACTTGAGTATGATACAGATTCATCCAGATTCAATTGAAGACTGTTCATTATCTGGTATAGTTATTTTTAATATTTTTTATTTCATACAGTCTTCAATATGATCAACACATGAAGCATGTTCATGAAGCATACAGTCTAGTATGACTATGCTGCTGTTGATTATCTAGTATAGTTATTCATGAAGCATAGTTATTTTTCTGCTTGATTTCACTTGAGTATGATACAGATTCATCCAGATTCAATTGAAGACTGTTCATTATCTAGTATAGTTATTATTAATATTTTTAATACAGATTCAATATAGTTATCTACTTTATTTCATCCAGAAGCAATACACATGTAGAATAGGTCACTTGTGTATGTTACAGATTCAGGAAGCATGTTCATTATCTACTTGATTTCATACAGTCTTCAATATGATCAACACATGAAGCATGTTCATGAAGGATGATCATTATCTACTTAATTTCATACAGTCTTCAATATGATCAACAGCAGCATAGTTATTTTTTTGCTTGATTTCATACAGAAGCAATACACATGTATAATAGGTCACTTGAGTATGATACATATTCATGAAGCATGTTCATTATCTACTACTATACGCATATTGTCCAAATTAAACCTCTAGTCCTATTATGAACTTCAATGAATCAGGTTCATGTATTAAAGTCACCCATTACACATTACATGTTGTTCTGTGTAAAGTTGATCCATTTAATTGGTTGGATTAAACCGGTAATTGATATTGTATTGTTCTTACGAAAAGATTTCATGTTGATGAAGAGCAACTATGTCATTTCAATTTAAAATATGCATAGATGTAGCAAACCAATTAGAGCAGGGCTATATTTGTCAAAGTGCAGGGGACTGTGGTGGTTACGACCCAGGGTTATAAGTGATATAAAATCTGCAACTGAATATGTACTTCTCATTTTACTTAACTATATTATGTATCACAATATGCAATTGCTTCATAAAGTGTATAAATTTCATTTAATAACTTTTTTATTAGGACACTATTTCATATAACATCTTCATGAAGAAACAGTTTCATTACTCATCTTCATGAAGAAACAGTTCCCATTGCTGCCCTTATAACCCAGATAGCTACATCTTCGTTATACGTTACTTTC